GTCCAAGTTTGCACAATAGAATCAGTGACAGCCAGGTTTAAAGCCAGACTCAATGTCACTATGCTGGGTCCACACAGGCACTGGAAAAAATACTGCTTAAAAAGACAAACAAACAAACAAACAATGATTTGTAGTATTGTGATGAACTTGAGTGAGTACCCTACTAGGGAGGTCCTTCAAAGAAATGAGGTTCTGCCTCACAAACTTCTGCTCTTGAATGTTTGAGGAAGTGGAGGCCAGTTTGTCTCCACGTCCTCTTTAGTTCTCTCACTGTTTTATTTGCAATTACAGTGTGGCTGCCAGGAATAGAATGGGCGATGCTCCCTTAGACCCGAGATGGATCCTCAGGCTGCCCGCCCTCCTCCTGACCCCAGAAGCTCAAGGCCGAGGAAACAAGCGGAAAACTCACTGACAGCACCAGCAGTAAGAATCACTGGCTCCTGCTCCTGGCAGTAGATGATCAGGGGTGGGGACAGTGAATTACTAGGCCATCTTGCTTATCCCTGAGGTCCAGAGTGTTTGTGACGGCCCCTGAAGCAGAGGCTGTCACCCAGAGAATGTGACTCAGGGCACATTCTGATGGATTCCCCTTTCCCCTGCATCCTTACAAGCTCCAGGGGATCAAGACAAACTAGAGTGTCCCTCCTCCTAGAGAAACCGCCCTGCTATGGACTGAATTGTTCCCTGAGCAGTGCATTGCCCTCTGGCCCCTGCTCCCTGACCCCTCTGCAAGCCTGGCTTCCAGGGAGCAGGGCGAGGGTGTGGCAGGGATCCTGGCTGCCGGTGAGGGCTCAGGAGCCCGGCGCCTAGCCCATCATCACCAAAGCTTCCCGCTCTGAGGTGCAGAGGAAATTGGGCAGGATTCCAGGTCAGGCAGACCTGGAGGCAACTTCCAGCTCCTGCAGTCACTCGCATCAGGACTGTGGAGAGGTCCCTGAAACTCACTGTACCTCTTAACCTACTTCATGGGGTGGTGGAGATGCTTAACTGAGCAACACTGGGTGTTCTCAAAAAAAAAAATTAAGTTTTCCCTCATTCACTCCTCCCTCTTCCTTCTCTCTCCTTTAGCAAGCCTAGAACATTCTCTTCAGCAACACTACCAGACCCCTAATCCAGGGTTCTAATTTCCTAATCTGTAAAGTGTGGATATTAATATCTCCCTTGGACTAAAAGAGGCCATGTATGTACAGGGCCCATAGTATGGGAGAGACTCAGTAAAAGGTCAGTATGTCACCTTCATCGGCCTCCTCCACATCATGGGAGGCTGGCTGACTCAGTACCAACAGAGAAAGAAACCCACCCCGGTGAGTCTGCCAGGAGACCTGGGTTCCAGTCCTGGCTCTGACATATTTTAGCTGTGCCACCTGATCGAGACACCTGCCCTCTCTGAGCTCCTTTCCTCACAGGTGCTCTGCCCT